TTAAAATAATTTGTAAAGCCCTCTCAAAAAGATTAGAAAAGGTAACTCCTCTAATAATACATCCAGACCAAACTGGTTTTATAAAAGGGAGACATTCATCCACAAATTCACGCAGATTATTTAATTTAATAGATTATTCTTACAGTAAAAATATTGAAACTGCAATATTCTCTCTAGATGCAGAAAAAGCTTTTGATAGAGTTAACTGGAAATTTTTATTTGCAGCCTTACATAAATTTGGTTTTGGAAATTATTTCATAAATTGGTTACAAATATTATACAGTTCTCCTTCAGCATGCATTAGGACAAACAATCAAATATCTGCTAGTTTTGCTCTGCAAAGGGGCACGAGGCAGGGATGTCCACTCTCCCCCTCACTGTTTGCTATTTTCATCGAACCGCTAGCCGCAGCAATCAGGCAAACTACAGATATTAAAGGCATAAAATGCAAGAACAGAGAGCACAAAATCAGTCTATATGCTGATGATGTGCTGCTCTTCCTCTGGCATTCACAAACCTCCATCTCTCAGGTTATTGGACTGATAAACTCCTTCTCAAAAGTTTCAGATTACTCTATAAACTGGCTAAAATCCACAGTTCTACCAATTAATTGCTCTTTCAACAATTCACTTACTACACAACTGCAATCAGGGAATATTACATATTTGGGTATCAAAGTTTCGCCTAAATTAGCAGATTTAACAAAACTAAACCACACCCCACTTTTAAAGAAAATTGAGGATGATCTGGCTAGATGGAAATCTTTACCCATATCTCTCATGGGAAGGATCGCATCAATAAAAATGATGGTTTTGCCTAGAATAAATTATTTATTCTCAATGATCCCAAATAAACCATCATCTGACTGGTTTAGATCCCTGGACTCCTCTATTTCTAAATTTCTGTGGAAAGATAAACGCCCTCGTATTAGATTAAAAACACTACAGAAATCCAAAGATAAAGGAGGACTAGAATTACCCAACTTTTATCATTATTTTCTAGCCAACAGGCTAGAATACATCTCAAAATGGATAAAACACACACCCCTTGATGAACCCTGGCTAGACGTAGAACAGACACTTTGCAATAATATAATGATCTCGGACCTTCCATTCATTAGCTCAAACATAAAACGACAGGAATGCTTTAAAAGCATCAATATCAGCTCCTCTCTGACAGCTTGGTGGGAGTTTCTTAAAATGACAGAGTCTTCACTAATCCCATGCAAACGTACACCCATCTGGAACAACCCTGACATCCTACAACAGAATAAGATGATAAACTTCCCAGGTTGGAGGTGTAAAGGAATTGAATATTTGGAACATATATATGAAGAAGTGGACTACATCCCATTTAACAGATTAATTACACAATATGGGATTGGTTCTAATTTTTCTAATTTACTGGGCAAGGTGTGACAGATGGAAATGTCCTCATGTTGAATGTCAATGTCTTTGTTCTGTAAAAAAAAAAAAAAGTCACTACTTGTTCCTTCAGAGTCTGCAGCTCTTCTTGTGGTGAGTCTTCTGTGATGTTTACATTTGCAGCAACTCTTGCATATGTCCGGTGTTAAAATTCAAGTCCAGCAATTACCAAATCATCTCGTCTTGTATATTGTTCCAGATCATCTACTTTTTGTTCCAGTTCAGCCATCATTTTGTCTCTATCACTTGGAACTTTTAACAGCTTCACTTCCTCCATCAGACCGATAAGGAGTTTGTGCTGAGATGTTAATTTAGTCAGTTCTGAACTCAAAGTTCAGTGATTATTTTAAAATTTCGCCATATTGTCTGAATTATCTTCCACTGACTCTACTTTGTCCACGTTTATTCGGCATGACTCACGCTACTCCTGGACCTGGCGGTAGCAGCTCTCCGGTCTGATAGCAGTAGCCCTGGGGCCTGGCCACAGAAGCCCCCATGTCCAACGACGACAGTTCGGGGCCCAGCGGCAACAGCCCCCAAGTATGTCGGCAGCAGCTCCCAGGTCCGACAACGGCAGCCCAGGGCCCAGTGGCCATAGCCCCATATCCGACAGCAGCAGCCCAGGGCTCTGCGGAGCAGCTCCCAGGTTCGACAATGGCAGCCGAGGGCCCAGCGGCAACAGCCCCCAAATCTGAAGGCAGCATCTCCCAGGCCTGACGACAGTTTCCTCAGACTCAGCCTTCCTGCACCGCCTTCAGGCCTTTGATGATGCCAACGGCTAGCTAGCGCCGGCTGGTAATGGCGGCGCCTCCTAGTTTGTGTAGAAGTTCAGAGCTTTTTGAATAAAAAGCATAGTCCATGTAAGTGGCGATGGGCTTCCGCTTCATATCCACCTTGTTTGATTATTTTTTCTTAAAGTCTGCGAGTGTGCAGTGCTCTGACCTTAAAGCATTTACACACATTGTCCCACTCACTCCTATTGCGCTTGGAGCTAATGCCAGAGGACAGCGTGCTAAGAATGTTTTTACGTGACTATCTTGTTTAGAAGCATCTTCAACTCGCATCCTGTAAAGTTCTTCTTTTTCCTGCATGTAGACATGCTTTTCAATAGTGTCGAGAGAAAATTCTTCAGGTGCAGGGTGAGATACATGTAAATAAATGTCTAAAAAAGAATTTAATACATGTAAATAGTTTATTTTTTAGACATTTATTTTGTACAGTTACAGCCGTTGTTAATAAATGAGCCTGTGTGACAACTGGGACAAAGCTTTGACTCAGAAATATATTTTTATTACTTTATGGGAAAAAAAACTACATCGAGATAGGGCTGCATGATACGGACCAAAATTACTATCGACATTTTAAAGATAAATCACGATATACGATATATATCTCAATATTCAAACATCTGCTAAGTTCATGGCACAAAACAATGCAGATGTTCCTGTTTTTAGTATTTTACATCACTTT